TCTCCCCCCCCTTCTTTCTCCTCCCTTCTTCCCTTCCCAGCACACATCACTCTTCAGAGTCACTGGCACAGAATACTAGCATCTGGCCCTGCTGAGCAGCCCCTCAACTCCTTGTGACCCACTTCTCTGCTATCAGGGACAGGGTGAAAACTCAGGTTCAGCCGAGTGTATTAATCTGCTCTCTTCTGATGGAAGGAGGCAGATGGAAGACAGCAGTGGCTGGAATAATACAAGGGGCACAGCTTCAGGAAACAGGCAAGGCCTTACCTTGCTGTTGCCAAGAGACCAGTGTTCCTTTACAGGAAGCCCCAAACACAGGTCTGCTCACACAACCCAGCAAACACTATGGAAAGTGTGTCAGGGAACTGGATGCAGAGATGAAAGATCATTCTCGGCTAGGACCAGTGGCACAACTGTCAGCGGCAGCTCAGCACGCTGTTCCATGGCGACGGTGCTGGGGGTTAAGGGAAGTCAGCACTGAGGCTTGCATTTTCCTGAGACTGCAGGTGACATATAAGCTGACCGGGTGGTGCTTCAAAGTGTGTAGCTGGAGTAGGATCATCAAGATTCCTCAAGTCTTCAACCCTTGTCTTTCAGTAGAAAGTTAAAAAATCTAACACTGGGGTCCCCAGGTGCTTTACCATAGAGACACTCCCTCTAAGCATCTTTTTTTAACAGCATGATTAGCCTTGCAAATAAGCAAGACCTCAAAAAATTGGCAAAGACTCAAATTTGTTCCTCTCCACGGAAATCTTTAGTAAAAGGCGAAAGATTTATACGATCTGAAGAGAAACCAGAGTGTATGTGTAGTGCCTTTAGCTCTGGCTGCCACTAATGGCTGCTCCTGGTTCACTGTCGGTGACTCTCCAGCCCCAGGAGCTGCACACATTTCAACTTGTCTTTAAGCTAATATGCAAAGCCCTCATAGTTTGAGATGTTGTGTGAAATATGTATTTATCTGTATACATATTTTTAACTTGAAAGATTGTACTACCTGCAAGGTACTATGGGTATGCAAATGAGCAGTCTGACTCATTGGCTTGGGGATTCGGTGGATGCCTCCTGGGCCACCATTAGGGGGCGAAGCAGAGAGCTGGGTGCGAAGTCTGACTGGTTCAGCCACAGAAACTTGGTTTTATCCTTTTTTATGTTGGGACTTTGAGTATGATTGCTGCTGCTAAAATCCCTTTATGCTGAGATGATTTTAGGCTTTCAAGACCAGCAAATGGCATAATGGAGCCTGTGAATCTGTGCGGTGAACTGCATCGACTGAACTCTAAAACCTAGTCAGCTGATTTCAGTCAATACAGTGATGCTCTATGAGGACCAACAGTAATAGCATGCTGGAGTTCTGAAATAAAAATAAAGCCCAGTAGCCTGGCAGCTGTTGGTCCACCCGCCTCGCTGGTTTCCTTGCTGTTCAGGCACGCCCTTTGGAGTGTGTGCAGAGCTCTATGTAGCTCTATCATGTCTAGATCTGGAAACCAACACAATAGATCCACGGGCTCTGAGAACTGGTGCTGACTCTACACTAGTATAGTGTCCCGCTCTGTAGCCCAGGCTGCCCTCAAACTCAGAAAGTCATGCGCTAGCCCAGGCCAGCCTGGAGCTGACAGTCCTCCTGCCTCAGCCTGCCTAGTGCTGGGACTTGAAACGTCCACGCCCAACTTCAAACTGTTCTCCAAGTTTCCTGAGCAGAAGCCAAGCTCTCTAAGTGTAAGTGTTCATCTGTGGGGCTGTGGCTCCCGAAGGCCTGGAGTAGTTATTTTCTCCATATGAGAAACATACTGTTTCTTTGATATTCTGGAGACACGGTATAGGGGATGTGGGACTCTCTGGCGTCCTTTGTAGGGAGTCACAGGCTTGTGTAATTTGGCCCGTAGTCCTTCCACTGTGTTACATTCTTCTTTTGGATTTTTTGAGACACAGTCTCACGAAGCCCAGGCTGGCGTCAAATCTACTATATAGCTGAGGATGGCCTTGAACTCCTGATCCTCCTGCCTCTACTTCCTAGGTGCTGGGATTACAAGTGTGCGCCACCACGGCTGTCTTGAATTACATATTTTTGTTTGTGATTCCTAACTTGTGTATCAACCCTGTTCATTTCTTAACAACTCTTACCTCCAAAGTCCTTGGAGAAACATGGTGTTTTTCTAGTTTGAGAAATCTGGGGCAAGTATTGTGTGTGTGTGTGTGTGTGTGTGTGTGTGTCTTTGACTTCATGCTGGAATTTAAGATTTCTTTTTAGACATGTGATTTTGCTGTGGTTTGGATATGGCTGGAGTGGGTTAGAAGCTTGGTGCCCAGTGTGTTGGTGTTCATGTGGGGGAAGCTTTGAGAACGGACAGAGCAGTCCTAGTCAGCTTCAGTTGTCAACTTGGTACAGCCCAGAGTTGTCTGAGGGAGTCCAAGTTAGGGAATTGCCTCCATCAGACTGGCCTATGGCCATGTCTGTGAGGCATTTTCTTAATTAATTGATGTAGGATAGCCCAGCCCATCTGTAGGCGGTGCCATCCCTAGGCATGTGGGCCTGGGCTGTGTAAGAAACGCAGCTGACACCGGTAAACAGCGTTTACCGTGGTCTCTGCTTCAGCCGCTGCCTCCAGGTTCCCGCCCTGAGTTCCTGCCTTGGCTTCCCTCAATGATGGGCTGTGAGTGGTAAGCCAAATAAACCCTTTCCAGCCCAAGTTGGTTTTGGCATGGTGTTTAACCCAGCAACAGAAAGCCAGCCAGGACAGAAGCCTGCTGCAAGTTCATTAGGGGACGGTCCTTAGAAGGGAGTGACTTGGTTCCCTGTTTCTTCCTGGCATCTGACTTTGTCTTGTGATCTCTACCTTTAACAAATGTTCTTGCCTGACACCCTCTACCCTGAGGTTCTCATCAGAGCTGCTGTCAGGCCCTTCAACCTCCAAACTGGGAGCTAAATTGACCTCTTTTCTTTATAAAACACCCAGTCTCAGTGATTTCATTATAGTAACTAGTACAGACCTCTCTGTTAGCTTTAGGAATAAAAAGAGGCCTACGGACCAAATAAAGTGGGGAGGCAAATCCATCCATGTCAAACCAGGTGTATATAGTCCTGTATAGTCAGAGTTGTAGGAACTTGGAGGGTAGAGAGTTGTGGGGTTTAGGTTGGCAGTTGGGTCAAAGATATTAAAGGAAATTATTTGCATTAATTAGATTTAATTACCTCTTTTGTGTGTTTGTATGTGCACATGTGTGTGCTGGTGTACATGTGTGCATGTGTATGGAGACCAGAGATCAACCTTGGGTATCATCCTCAGTTGCAATCCACCTTGTTTTTTGAGGCAGGGTCTCACTTTTATCTGAACTCAGGATTTGGCTAGGTGGCCAGCAAGCCCCAGGATCCTCCTGGTTCCCCCACTCCTGTGCTGCGGTCTCAGGCATGTGTCGCCACGTCTGGCTTTCTTATGTGGGTTCTGGGGATCAGACTTAGCTCCTCAAGCTTGTGCAGTGTCGATACAAAAGCATGACTCTCGTGTCAAAGGGGAAAAGAGAGAGTTTATTCCAGAGCCAAATATGAGTGACCATGGCCCAGGAACACGGTGTTAGGTCACCCCAAATTTCACGTTCCTAGGTAGAAGCAGTTTCATGAAGTTTTATAGTAACAGAGCAAAGAGAGTCATAAATCAAGGCATTTTTCAAATACATTGGTGGAAACGTTACGTAGGCAGGTACAGCAAAGAAAGTTCGGCAGAAACACCAGAAAGTTGGTGGAAGCCGGGGTTTCGTTGTTAGTACATCCCCAAAGGTTTTTATCTTGTTAGTCCCAGATGTTAGATGAGACAGAGGGGAGCAGGGAGCGGCTAGTTAGGGCTAAAGTGGCCCAAGATGGATGGTAATTAGGCTCCGGACCTGCAGCACTTCAAACACTCCACAGTCACTGAATCTCTGGTCAGTTGGTAGCCTTGCGGAAGGGTCAGTTTGAAGATGCACTTTCTTTTTCTGGGAACTGTTATTCTCAACAGCAAGCACTTTACCAAATGAGCCAGTTAATTCGTCTTTATGAGAATGTCTCCTTTTTCTTCATCTTTCCTCTTCGGTCATCCCTGACCTAAGTTGCCCACCTGAGGTGGTGAGGGCACTGAGGGACAGATGGTGCAGGCTGGGTGCTGCTTGTGTCTGTCCTGTTGACACTGTCCCTGGCCTTGCAGTCTCATCTTCACCCATGCAGGTGGCACAGATGGTGTAGCAGAGGCTCAACTATACATAGTACCAAAGATGTTCTATCAGCGAGAGCATCTTGTCTTTAATGCTGGGAGAGATTATGGACTCTGAAATTGCGAGCACTAAGATGATATAGTTCAAATTATTTTAGAAATAGCAAAGCAACTGTTGAAAGAAAAAACTCTTCCAATATTGCTGAGTGAAGAATTAGCCCAGGTTTACCCAGAGTGTACCTCTCCTGTGCAGACTCCCTCCTTCCTTCCTTTAAACATTTTGTTCTTATTTTTTTATTTTTGAGATTTTTATACCTGAATGTCGTCTTTACATTATTCCCATCCCTCCCCAGTCCCCCAAGTCCTCCCATGTCCTCACGCCCTCTCAAGAGAGAAACAGGTGGGCATCCTGTGGAGGTCAGAGAACAACTTTTGGGAGTCGGTTCTCTGGGAACCCAGGTGGGTCTCAGAATGGAACTCAGGTCTGAGGCTTGGAGGCAAGCACCTTTACCTACTGAGTTGTCTCCCCAGCCTTGAAAAACAAATGCTTTATAATATGTGCAACTTGTAAAATTGCCTCTTAATTTTCAGGTACAAAAAATTGTATTTTCCTCTGATTCCAATCAAGTGAGGCCCAGAGTCCTTGTGGAGATAAAGATGCTCACTAGTGGTAGGCTCCGACTCACACAAGTAGGACAGAAAGCCCTGACTCTATCAAGGTGATGCGAAGGGCTCACTGGCCAGAATGCGTCACCTGCCCATGGGTGGTAATCAATGTTTATTCTCTCCCGCTCAGCTTGGCTGCAATGTCCACCTCTCACTCTCCTCAGGCTGTACCCTCCGAGTCCCCTCATGTCCACTCACGTGCCCTGTCCAGGACACTTCACAGACATGGAACCTCATAGATGTTCACACACAGAGTGCTCTGGACACGAGCTGATCCAGGGGAAGGGACGGGATGCAGACCTTACTGTTTCACTGCGAGTTTATATGAAGTTGGTTCATTTCTTTATCCAGTTACCATGCCAGCTGTAAATGACATGTTTAACACAGCTGATCCTAAGTAATTTTAAGAAGTGTCTAATCTATATTTCTCTTACTAGTGTCTGTGTATGAACTAGTTCATTACTTGTACTGTCTATGTGACCTTGGGTGCATGGATTGAAACCCTTTTACAAAATGGGGTAACAGCATAGGGCTTCATCCTGGAGGATCAGTGTTCACAAGATGCTAAGTTAGATGGAAAGGTACGTTGGGGAATGGAGGGAGACCAGCCAAGCTGGAGGGGACGGTTTGCATGGGCTGAGGATATTGTGGGGTTAGAAGCAGGTCAATGCTGTCTACAGAATCTGGATTCACAATAGCCTGCTTTTCCATTGTGTTACCAGCTGGAGCTTGAGTTCTGACCCGGGTTCGTACTACAGACCCTCTGCCAATGCTGTAACCTTCTGTTCTGCTCTACTAGGACCCCAGTGACTTTGAGTGGAACTTCTGGATGGAATGGGGGAAGCAGCGGCTGGCATGGCTCCTCCTTGGCCATGCGACCATGTCTCAGCTGGCCGCACTGCTTGCCAAGAAGGTATGATTCCCTGTGTTTGCTTCTAAGATCCTTTCTCCTTTGGGTTTTATGAAGAAGAGGGCTGAACTGGGAATGAGGAGATGGGAACCGGCTGGGGAGCCTGGGAGCAGTGACGGTCAATGTGACGCTTCAGATGAAGGCCACCTCTGTTTCATCCTGCATTGATGCCTCTGAGTTATCTGAACCATGAGTACAAAGGTTTCAGTGAAGTGACCAGTGTTTCGCTATGCTCATGCCTGACGGAGTGATCTAGTGATCTTGAATGCTGGGGAGAGTCTGTGTGGCCTCATAAGTGCAGAGGGGAGAGAATGGCTTCAGTTTTAAGAACTGGAGATGGAGCTTGGGGACAGAGCTGTCAGTGGAGTATTTGCTGTGCATGTATGAGGATCTGCGTTCCATCCCAGAATCCATGTAAGAAAAGCCAGGTACAGGGGCTGGAGAGATGGCTCAGTGGTTAAAAGCACTGGCTGCTCTTGCAGGGGACCTTGGTTCAGTTCCCAGTACCCACATGGTGGTTCACAACCATCTATACCTCCAGTTCCAGGGGATCTGACACCCTCCTCTGGCCTCCGAGGGCACCAGGCATGCATGCGGCGCACATGTATATATGCAAAAAGAGCACTCAATCACATAAAAATAATCTTTAAAAAAAAAAAAAGGCCAGGTGTGGTGGTGCTTGTAATATAAACACTGAGCACATGGAGACAGGCAGGTCCCTGGGACTCACTACCAGTGAGTCTGGCCTGCCGTGTAAGCCCCGGACCACTCTGAAACCCTGTCTCCAGAAACACGGTGGATGACTCCTGAGAGCAACATCTGAGGTTGAGGTTGGCCTCTGGCCTGCTACACGTGGGCATGAGCATACACAGGGACAGACGCACACACACACACGAGTGGAGGTGGGTTTAAGGTTGGGTTGAGCCATGTGCTCCACTGTGGTTGCTTTAGCTAGGGTTGTAGTGGTCCTTTGTCCCCACCTCAGCCTGGGACAAGGAATGTGGTAAGTGGATATTTGAACCAGGATTTCATAGGAAGCTGGGCTGCGGCTTTCACAGGGCTAGCTACCAAGGGGCCTGAGAGACTTCCAGGAGGATCCCTCCGTCCCCTCATGGAGATTCCCTACTACCAGTCTAATGTAGGAGAGCCAGTCTGTGCTTGGGAATCTACGAGGGAAGCCCACACACAATCAAACCGTCCAGGACCTCAGTGCAGGAGGCTTGATTCCTTTGGGAGGCCCGAGGACGCGGTAGCTCTGAAGGCTCTGGGAGGGAGAGACCAGGGCTGGCCAGGAAGAGGGGCTCCCTGGTTAGGGCTGTGCATCGAATGTAGGACGTTCTTCAGCTCCTTTCAGAGGGCTGTACTTTCTGATTCTGTTTCTGCGTTTGGAAGACAGGAATTCCTGACAGCATGCCCTGCCTCTTCCTCTTTAATATGTGTGGATTATCTTTCTCCACCCAAGTTGTCTCCCATCTTCTTAAGAGGCAAAAAATAAAGTATCAGATTTGAATCTATTTAAAAATTACATGTAATTTTCTGAATAGACTGAATAATGAATTATATATACTGGTTGTTGTCACTCCTAAGCAGGTGATGGACATATTTCTTTCTTTCCAAAAACCCCAGTTTAGGTTTTTTTTTTTTTTTTCCAAGTCTTTGGAATGTCTAGAAATTTTAAATTTAAAAAATTTTATTTAGTATAATTTTTTATTGTATGTGTATGAGTGTATGCCTGCATGTACGTAATTGCACCCATGTTGTGTGATGCTCTTGGAGGTCAGAAGAGGGTGTCGGATCCCCTGGAACTGGAGTTATGGATGGTTGTTAGCTGCCATGTGAGTGCTGGGAATTGAACCTGAGTCTTCTGCGAGAGCAGCCAGTACTCTTAACCACTGAGCCATCTCTCCAGCCCCCCAAATTTAACATTTTTATTTCTTCTCTATGGGCTTTCATGTATGGGCGTCTGTCTGTAGTAAGTGACCTCCCACCCCTAAAGTTAGGAAGAACATGTTGAATCTCATTAATAATCAGACCAATGGGGCTGAAGCGATGCTCAGTGCTTGCTGCACAGTCATGAGGACTGGAGTCCAACCCCAGCGCCCATGTGAGACAAGCGGGGTGTCTGCAACCACTGCTGTAACTCTGCTCTGAGGGATCCAAGGCCCTCATCTGGCATCTGTGTGCACCTGCTACTCATTGTGCATATATCCACACAGATGCAGACACACCTAAATAAAAGAACCAAACGCACACACCTGAGAGCCACTGTATGCTGTCCTTTCATCCTTTTCAGTTTGGCAAAAATAAGACTATAATCCCTGAAGATGCTGAGATGGAGATGGCCAGCCAGCCTCATTTTGAGAGGGAGGAGTGTGTGCTGGTCAGCTCCTCTGCAGTGCGACTGTGGTTACACCAGAGCCTTTGCCCACAGATACCTGTGCAAATCCCGACATACCCACTGCAGGTGTTCTTCTGCCAGTCAAGGGACCTGTGCCTGATGCTATTTGCAGTGGTGCATGTGATATGAAGATCCAGACGCAATCTGGGTGTCCATCATGGCGAAATGGATGACTTGTAGAGAATTCGTCATGAGCTAGAATGAAGTATATTGTCAGCACTGAGGAATTTGTGGTTGGTGATGGTGAACTAACAAGTCAAGTTACAGAGTAGATCAGCTAGGATTCCATTCATCAGAAGCTCAGAAACATGCACTAATGGGAGCATTTGCTGTGGGAAGATGCAGTGTAAATAGCTGTTGTAGTTTGGATAGAGCTGGAATGTGACCCCAAAGGCCCATGTGTTGGATGGTTGGCCCCTGTGGCGATGTCCCTTGATTCAGTCTGCTTGAAGCTTTTAGCTAAGGCGCCTTCTTTCTGGGGAGGCTATGAACACTTAGAATCCACAGAGGATTGATTAGAGGAGCCCCCAAAGGTGTCAGAATCCACAGGTGCCCAAGTCCCTGATATGTTTTTAAAAAAATAACATTTATTTATTTATTATATATATGTATGTATGTGTATGCCCATGCCAGAGTGCATGTGTGGAGAATGGAGGTCAACTCTTCAGCGTTGGGTCTTTCCTCTACCACACAGAACCTGGAGACTGAACTCAGGTCATCAGGCCCGCCACTGGCTCCCAAGTCCCTGATATAAAGTGGTAGAGTATTTTCATACAACCTATACACACCCTCCCAGAGTCATTACATTACCTCTGGATTACTTAACAACACCTAGCACAATGCAGATGCCAGATAGTTGTGATACTGTATTGTTTAGGGGATAACAAAGGAAAAAAGCCTGTACTTTGTTTTTAATTATTGGCAGACCTCTGCCCTTTGGTAGGATAAGGTTGAAATCTCAGCAGACCACCAGAGAGTGCCTGTTCAGCCTCCCTCTGGCATAGGGGCTGAGAACTCAGGGGACTGCCTGAGAATACCTAGATCCTGTCTCCACATGGTGATAAGAGTTATGCAGTTTGGGAGTCTTTTAGATAGACCCACTGAAGGGGTGCTCCAATTGACACACCCTGCATCCCTGTTCAGCATGGAAGAAGCCAGAGCGGTCTGCATTCCTATTCCCTATTGGCAATTTGGGTAACCTCTTCAGAGGATGACGTGATAAGAATAGGAGGTAGGAATTGGCTAGGCAGTTAGGGTAAAAAGACCCCAAAGAAAAGTAGCCAGTTTCTTGGCTAAAAGTCAAAATGTCCTTGGGCCTGTTAGCAACATACTCTGTTTCAAAGGCCAAAAATGTTGAAAGTATTTGGGAGCTTTAATCTAATCCCTAAAAGATTTTAGGGTTACCTCTTCAGTGGGGGGAATGTTAGAGTAGCCAAAAGCCCCATTTGAAAAAAAATGAGTACACGAAGTTGTCAGCAAAAAGTGATGGGGAGATATGGGAGGAGTTGGAGGGGAGGGAGTGGGCATGGATTTGATCAAAACACCTTATATGCATGTATGAAATTCTCAATAATTTTTTTTAAGGTTAAAAACATAATATTATCAAGGCTGGTTGAGACCGCAGGTGTGGAAGGTGCACCTGGAGAGGTTAACGCACTGTGTGAGTTGCAGCTTTGGCACTTTCAAGGCCTGTGAATTGTGGAGTCACTTCCTGCCCCTGAGCCTGTCCTCAGCTGTGCCATGGGGCTGCTGGCTTTGTGGGACTCCGGGGAGAGGCCAAGAAGCAGTATTTTTCAAGGCTCTGTTTGCAGGTGGGCAGAGCCGGGTTCCTCTGGCAGCTGCTGTGTCTGCTCCTGGGAGTTCCCATGGTGGTTTTACGACGGGAGCTGCTGAGGGCCGGGGCTGTAGCTCAGAGGCAGAGCTCCATCTTTGCCTAACATGTGAGGCTCTGGATGCAATCTCTTACACTGGAGAAAAAGAAAGGATGTTACTATCTTGGGATTCCACAGTCTTAAAGGGCTGAGGTGGTGTCTGATCCTGTGACCATTTCTAAACTGGGTTCAACTGCTCTGAGTGGGATGTTAGAGATGAGCACAGTGCTGACTGGTCACTGTGCCATACCTGGTGTGGTGGCAGCTATGTCAGCGGCAGCAAGTCCATGGTGCAAGGATTGGGCTGTGCTGGCCGTTCTGGAGTGAGAGAGGGCCTCTGAGGAGGTGGTTGTGGAGCTCTGGCTAGAGGAAGCAGACCTCCCTTGTCTGACTTCCTGTCTGACTCTGCCAGGCCGGGAGTCCAGGTGGTTGCGGCTGGTCTTCTGCAGAGCATGCCTCACCCAATGCTGGGGCGGTGGGCTTTGTGTTTTTCTTGGAAGGAGGCAGAGTGAGCGCTGAGTCAGCTTGCTGTGTCCTCACCCCTATGACCACAGGCTATATCTGCTCGCGGCTGGGCCACAGTGCTTCTTTGACTGAGTTGCTTGGCTCTTCTGTAAGTCTGGACCTCAGCCTTGGCCTCCACTTCTGCCCGTCACCACCATGGCCTTCTTTAGGGGGTTGTTTTTGGTACTTTTTCAGGGTGGAAGATTTGAAGTCTTCTACTTTGCTGTCCCCTGAGGCATGGTAAACCCAGGGCAGGGCAGTAGAGGACAGACATGTTAGCCTTCCGGCCACAGCCCTGATCCCTGAAGAATGCTTCCAACCTCAGTCCAGGATGGAAGCTCAGTCTTTCCTTTGCTGGTCACCTCCTCCCAATAAAAGCCAGGCTACTTTTAAAAGCTAGGCTACTTTTAAGAGCCTCCCCTTCTTCCCCCTTCTCCCCAACCCCCCACTTCTTTTATCAGGACAAATAAAGCTCTCCACTGCGCTCTTTGGCTGAGGTTAAATGCCTTTCCTCTAGGCCGGACCCCTCTGGGTTTTATCCAGGCTCCATGAGGAACCCGTGGAGGCTGATTGATGCTCAGCTGTGGCTGAGGGTCTGTTGTGATTGGACTGCCTGTGGGATGGGTCACAGTTGCCTCTTCTCTCAATGCCTCTGTGGCTTCACCACCACCTGAAACACCATGTTCTCTGCCCTCAGAACTAAAAATACCCCTGCTGGGTTTTTGAGAAGGCCAGCCTGGTGTGGGGCTCTGGTGGGTGCTGCTGTGGAGGCTGATTGATGCTCAGCTGTGGCTGAGGGTCTGTTATGATTGGACTGCCTGTGGGATGGGTCACAGTTTCCTCTTTTCTCAATGCCTCTGTGGCTTCACCACCACCTGAAACACCATGTTCTCTGCCCTCAGAACTAAAAATACCCCTGCTGGGTTTTTGAGAAGGCCAGCCTGGTGTGGGGCTCTGGTGGGTGCTGCCTTCTTCCTGGAGCCCTGACTGGAGAAGCCACGTGGTTAGCCCCGGTCTGATGGATGCTCAGTTCCTTGCTGTAGAGTATGCTCAAGGCCTGGTCCCCCGGGGGTGGCTCTGGATGGTGAGCAGCTGTGACTTCTAACAGAGGAGTGGATCTACACGACAGAAGCTCATGCATTGATGGTTTTCTGAAACCCACCTCCTTTCCCTCCATCAGTGCCTGTCTAAGGAGGTAAAATCCCCTTGACAGGCTCCACCAACCTGCTCTCCGGAAGAGCTGGCTGGAGTGCAGCTGTCTGGACTCTAAGATATCTGTTTTCATTTCTCAGTTTTTCAAACAGTGCTTCACTGAGAGATTTCTTGGATGACACTGTTGCCAACTGGAATCCTGACCAAAACATTATGCTCTCACTCGTCTGTTTTCATTTCTCAGTTTTTCAAACAGTGCTTCACTGAGAGATTTCTTTGATGACACTGTTGCCAACTGGAATCCTGACCAAAACATTATGCTCTCACTCTGAATCGCAGACATAGCTAAAAGTACCGGTATGTGAGGCACATCTGGTTACCGCTGGCTGCCCGCAGCACCAAGGCTAAGCTTGAAGCAGACACAGCGGTGGTGTGGGAAAGGCCATCGCTAGCCAGTGTTTCCTGAGGCTGGGTTCTGACTCCCTGCCAAGGAGGTTTGAAGAACGTAGATTTCAAAAGAAAGAAGGGGGTGCCAGAGAGCTTCTGTTATCAACTTGACACACCTGGGTGGAGGGAGCCTCAATTGAGGAGGAATTGCCTCCATTGGACTGGCCTTTCTTGATTGTTCAGTGATGTGGAAGGGTCCAGCCTACTGTGGGCCTGGGTTGTATAAGAAAGCAGGCTGAGCACAGGCCACGGGACCAAGCCAGTAAGCAGCGTTCCTCCATGGCCTGTGCTCCAGCTCCTGCCTTGGCTTCCGTTGATGGACTGTGAGCTGTAAGCCAAATAAACCCTTTCCTCCCCAAGTTGGTCTTGGTCAGTGTTTTGTTTTAAATCACAGCAATAGGAAGAAACTAGAACAGAGGGCCAGTGTGTAGCCTTGTTGTGGGGGCACTGAGTCTCACCTGGACACTGGGCTGGCTCAGTTGGTTAGTGTCACACTCAGTGTGACATGGATGTCAGACAGTGGGTTTTGTTAGAGGTGTTATTGAATACTGTGCCTGTCTGCTGTACGCCGTGGAGGGAAACAGGTTGCAGGTCACGAGTCAGGAAATGGCTTACCTTATTCACGTTGGCAGGGAAGCCTTTTTATTAAGGGGTAGAAGTGGAGGTTTGCAAGCTGGCAGGTTTTCACATTAGTGAATTACAAAGCCCAGCATTTAAAAAAATATATTTTATTATTTTTATTTTATGTGTATGAATGTATTGCCTGCATGTAGGTAAGTGCACCCATGTTATGCAATGCCCCTGGAACTGGAGTTACAGACAGTTGTTAGCTGCCATGTAGGTGCTGGGATTCGAACTCTGGTCTTCTGCAAGAACAACCAGTGTTCTTAACTGCTGAGCCATCTCTCCAGCCCCAAAGCCCAGCATTTTAAAAATAAATCAAGGTTCTTGGCATCTGAGGAATGACATCCAAGGCTGACCACTGGTTTCCAAACATATCTGCATATATACCCACAAACATGTATGCACACCCACAAACATGCATGCACACTTATACACATACACAAAAAAATTATATAAAAGTTGTATTTGATTAAAATGTAAATTAGAAACACCATAGTTCAACATTGAGATTGGGGTTTTTTGGTTCACTGTTTTGGGTTAGTGAGTGAGTGGGTGTCACCCAGGGGGCACTGCAGGCCTGAGGCAGTGGACTCTGGATCCTCCGGCCAGTCTAGTGACAGGTCAGACATGCTTTGGAATAAAGTATGATGTGTGTCATGTATTTTTAAAAAGTTTTAATGTTTCTGTCCCGGTTCATGTGACAGGCATTGTACTGACACATTTCTAAGAGATCAACGCTTGGTCCACACGTTTGCACATCTGTGGTGGAGATGGGCAGAGCCTTAGGCTCTGCATATGAACTGACCTTTATAACCTTGGAGTCGTCCCTGCTGCTGCCCAGAGCCTGATGGCAACACCTCTCTGCACCGCTGTCTACTTCCAGTGCTCAGCCTGTGTGTGGGAGGGGTGAGGTCAGTTCAGGGCTGGCCGTGCTGTATTTCTGTTGGAATGGGGTGGGTCTGGGATTTCAAAGGTCTTTTAATATTTGGAATGTGAAAATCAGTACTTTAGTGGAATTCCAGTTTATACGATGGTTTTGTGTAGGTGGAGCGTTGCGTTGCTCAGTCTGCTCAGTGGGGAGGGTGTTGGGGCTCGAGGTCAGTGGAAACTTGTTCCTGTCCCATCTCGGGACAGGACCCAATGTTGTCCACCCACAGAAAGGGACCGAAAATGTGGGGCACGTTTGTCTGCATACAAGGCAGCTGTTAAACCCATTGCAGGCTCCTCAGAGCATCTGGGTTTGCACAGTGCTATTAAGTATTTCCGGAAGGTTCTTTCAGGTTTTTCCAAGTTGGAACAGCTTCCGTCTGTGGTAGTTTCAGATGAATCCCAGCAAACAGGCTTTTTCCATGCAGATCAAATAGCACTTAATAAAAGTAACTGTGGACGCATATGTGTGTAGACGTGTGTGTGTAATCCCAACAGTACACACTGTAGGTCATGTTGAAAAAGAGCCTTTCTTTTCATTATTAAAACCATGTCTTAAAATACTCTTAAGCAACCTTGTTTCTGAAAATTGGACCCTGCCCAGAAGTGAGAGGAAAATTTTGAAGCAAATTTATGTGGCTGTTTTCTGTGGGTAGGATGGAAAAACTGTAAAAATGAACTTCAGATTACTCTTGTTTTCTCGGAGCTGAAAAGCAGCTTGACCCAGTCTTACATTTAAAATGTTCTCTTGAGCTAGAGAGTAGGTCTGGGGAGGAAGAACACTCTGGAACAGCGTAGAAGAATTAACACCAGGGGTCTGCTGCTCAAATCCAGTCTCTCTGCCTCTGACTCTCTTTCTATCTCTGTCTCACTCTTTCTCTGCCTCTCTGTCTCTGACTCTCCCTGTCTCTCTCTTTCTCTCTCTCTGCCTCTCTACCTTTCTTGCAGATCTGGAGATGGTGCCTGGGATCTGGCATGTGTTAGGTCATCGCTGTGTCACTGAGTTATGCACCTTAGTCCTGTTTCCACTTTCTATTTTTAGACAGGGTCTCGCTAAGTGCCCAAGCAGGCCTTCAACTTGTGACCCTTCTGCCTCAGCCTCCTGAGTTGGAGCAATATTCTGATTCTCTTAAAATAGGAGTAATGTGTCCCCTAGATAAAGCCCTCACCATGACAAAAAGCTGGGAAGATACGAATTTTCTGTGACATAAATTTGACTGCAAACAGTACGCTCCAGTGTCCACTCTTTTAGCCTCTGTGGGCCACACTGTCATCTATGAGGTGCATGCTTGAGGACCGGGCAATTGAGTTGTTTTTTTAAAGATTTTCCCGATTTCATGATCTTCTCAGTAAGTTGTGATTTTGCTTTCATTGCTATCTTGGCTGAATGTGAACAGGTTGGACAATCCAAAGAGACGTAATTAGATATCTGAGTTTAAGTCGGAGGCATCAGACAGCTTTGTTGTGGACAGCCCCATTCGCTAAGGTTCCTCAGAAGGGTGTGCTGAACTTGTTCTCACCTTTGCCTCTGAGGAGAGCCTGAGAGTGTGGGAACACGGTCTCTCAGGTGGTGGTTTCCTACATGTGTGTCAATTCAAAAGTCAGTTGTTGGGACTGGAGAGAGGGCTCATCGGTTAGAGCACTGACCGTTCTTCCAGAGGACCAGGGTTCAGTTCTTAGCCCGGACATGGCAGGCTAACAACCATCCGTAACTCCAGTTCCAGGGGATCTGATGCCCACTTCTGGCCTCTGCAGGCACAGCATGCATGCAGTGCCCCTACATACATGCAGACAAAACACTCATAGCCATAAAATAACAAAAATAAAGTCACCTGCTGTGGGATCTAGTGTCTGGAGGCTTTGACTGGAGGCAGGGGAGTGATTGTTTCTGGGTGCATGTGGCAGCTGGAGACCAGCACTTGGTTGCTGGTCGCTGAGCCATATTCATGCCCTCATCTCTGTCCCTCCCTCTGGGCCACCCTTCCACAGCACAGACCCTGGATTCTCACGGTCTATGGAGTATGGGCCTGCTGGTGCGTGCTGGGGACCCCAGGCGTGGCCATGGTCTTTCTCCACGCTGCCGTTGCCTTCTGCGTGGCCCAGTTCCGGTCGCTGGTCCTGTCCTGGCTGTGTTCTCTCATCCTGCTTTTCACGCTGAGGCTGCACGATGTGGAGGAAGTTAAGGTAAGGGTCTAAGTCTTACATGTCTAATCCCGGGGAAGGGAGGGAGACGGGAAGGGGAAGCGGAAAGGAAAGGGGGGGAAAGGAAGGGGCGGGGCGGGGAAGACGGGAAGAATGCAGGAAGGGGGGAGGGGAGGGCTCCTGGGCTTCCATCCAGTAGCTGCCTAGGTTTTCATGCACAGAACCCTAGGGCCTCGACGGAGCTCCACCTGGTGGCCACGCAGGGATGGGGACTGTGATGTGTCGATGCGTGGGAACTCAGCTGTGTTCTGCAAGCCATCTTGTCCTGGTTTGTATCTAAGCCCGGTGAGGTTGCCCAGGATCCACCTTTTCTCCAAGTTTGGGTAGGCACGGAGGATGCCAGATGTCACAGGATCCGAGAGTTAGAAACAAAACTGAGGGCTGGAGAGATGGCTCAGCAGTTAAGCGCACTGGCTGCACTTGCAGAGGACCCAAGTGTGGTTCCTAACACACACACCAGGCGGCTCACAACTACCTGTGACTCCAGAGGATCTGACACCCTGTTCTGGCCCCTGCTGGCACCTTCACTCACATGTACGTATCCACACAGACTCACACACACAAATATCATTTTTAAAAAGAAGCAAAGGTGGAAGAAGGGCGCCAGCCCCTCAGTGCCTGCTTACACACGTGTCAGTCCTCCACAGTTTTTAGGGATGGTCCCACTCACCTTATGTCACACAACGGCCTCGACAGAGACGTGTTTTTATTTGTCTTAGCTGATAAGAAGCTGATTATCTACTCCTGTGGCTAATCATGGAAGCTCTTTGTATAGAAAGTGAAAACAATGGGCTTTGCCCTAAGGTCCCAGACCAAGCCTCCACAGTGTGCCAGAGGATGGCGTGAGTTGTCTGTGTTGATGAAGGTGGGCATTGGGCCCCTGGCGTTCTCTGTGGCTGTTCTCTGTATCAGTACGTTTTCCTGTATAGGAATCTGCCTTCCTAGCTTTCTTTCGGTCATCGTGGCCCTGGTTTTTTTTTTTCCTACTCATGGACTAGGTTTGGCCTGGGGGACTGCTGGGTGATGTAGTAGGAGCTTGGTGTTCAGGACTGAGGTGACCACACCGTTAGTGACTCCCCCAGTACTAGCCTTTCCGCTTCTTGCCAGATATCCCCACATACGTGTGCCTGGTAGTGCACAGCATGCCCTGGACAGCCCTGGATCATCTGTGCCGCCCTTGGTAACCTGGAGGACCCAGGTGTGCTGTGCACACGCGGGCCGTGTGGGACCCTGCAGGCTGTGGCTTCCCTGTCTCACCCTGTGTTGACTGCATCCTTCATGTCTACGAGCCAGAGTATCAGGCTTGGGACCCAGGACGGATGCCAGGGAAGCTATCAGATCTGCAGAACGGGTGTGGCCCTCTCCAGGGAGCTCTCAGGGATGGGAAGTGTCCTCAGGGGAGAAAGGCGTCCACGGCCCCAGCATCAGAGCCCTTCGGTCTCGGGACCAGTGTACTCTGACAACAGCTAGCCTGAGAGATTCCTGGCTCAAAACATTTGGGCCTTTTGCCCAGGGCAGGACTCACGGGTTTCCACCCTCGTCCTCTGGTGCTGCAGTCAGGTTCTCGGGTGCTGTCTGCTGTGGAGAGCTGGGTGAATCTGTTCCCTTTTCTTGTATGTTTTTACCTCGTCTCTTTAAGCAATGAACTTCCTGGTTCAGCCTTCTGAGTGCGGCGATTACAAGCCTGTGCACCACACCTGGCCAAAGCTTCTGAAAGCTGTTCTGTGTTCTTTACACAGACCCCTTCCCGGCTCCTGCTGGCTGACTTCCCTTTCTACAAGTCCTTGGGCGGATGGTATGGGCTCTGTGTTAGCTGAGGTCTTCTGGTGCCCACTTTCTGTCTGATATCCGTTGGGCAGGATCAGGTGGTTAGTGCGCTAGGCCTTGAGACTGACGTATGGACTCTTTCAGGGCAAGAGCACTGCCCTCAGGCCCCTCAGTTTAGGAACCATGGAGGCTGGGTTCTCTGTGGGTTCCCACGGGTTGCATGTGTCTGTGAGGATGATCCATGTTTGGAGGGAGGACGGACATATCTAAGTAGGATGTATAAGGGGCTGTGGAATTAACCTAGGCGCTTGCAGTGGACTCCGCAGATCAAACCAGCGCCACTGAGCTGCCTTTGGTTTTAGAAGGCCTGTGGCCCATTAATTAATTAAGCTGTCAACAGTTTCCAGTTAAGCCACAGCCAATCACTGCTTGGTTAGGCTGCAGCCAGTTACGCTGATTTCTATCTGACCTGCTACTGATGGGCCAATTATCGCTTTGCCTTCTTTGTTAAAATAAACTCTACCATAGTCAATGGGTCCAAGGACTTTCTTTTCAACAGTGCTACACAGAGCTCCATGGACCTGGCCACCTAGGGCCACTGTGTCAAGGGCAGCAGCACTCTGAACCATCTACGATGCCAGTCTGTTCTGTGGCTCTTTCACGGCTTCCCGTCATCTCAACGTTTCTTGCGCAGAAAATCTTGTGGAGTTTTGATATTCTTGCTTTAGCCGCTGTGGGACTGGAACCCTGGAGATGTTCATTAGTTCATTCATTCATCCATTCATTCATTCATTCATTCATTCATTCATTTGTTCATGGATCCATCCATCCATTCATTCATTAGTTCATTCATTCATTCATTCGTCTGTTCATCTCATCCATTCATGAAACCTTTCTTCCATTCATCTACCCATTCCCTCATTCATTCACTCACTGACTGTGCTGGATAGCTTTAGTGTCAACTTGACACACCTGGGTTGAGGGAGCCTCAATCGGGAAATTACCTCTATTGGACTGGCCTGTGGCCATGTCTGAGGGGCATCTTCTTGATGAGTGGTGTGGGAGGGCCCAGCCCACTGTGGGTGGTGCCACCCCTGGGCAGGTGGGCCTGTGTTGCATAAGAAAGCAGGCTGAGCAGGGGCCAGGGGAGCAAGCCTGTAAGCAGCGTTCCTCCATGGCCTGTGCTCCAGCTCCTGCCTCCAGGTTCCTGCCCTGAGTTCCT